CCTTCTCATCGGGAAAAGCAGCAAACCAGGAACACAGCCCTCGGCAGCTCCACGTGAAGTCTAACGTGGCAACTCCAAGGCGTAATTTCTGCCCACGGCTCCAAGAAGACGACAGTCCCGCATTTCACACAGAAACGTTAGAGTAAGTAGAAAATTTTAGTTTACAAATGGAAAAGATCTTTCTATTAGAAAAGACATTTCACGTAGTTACCTTAAATAGCTCTTACACGCACCATTCCACATTGTGGAAAAGCCGAAATACGCAGTCTGGACTCCGCAAGTTAAAGAAAACCAGCATTCTGTGTATTGGCACAAATACTTACATCTACATCTGTACAGAATCAACAGCAGCTGCCAACCCTGTCCCGCCACCGTTCAGCCGCTCTCCAACCGCTCTCCCCCGCGGGACTGCCAACGCCTGACCGCGATGGGGGAACCTCGTCTGAAGAGCGGGGTGCCAGAAAGTTCCAAACTGCTCTGTCAGTCTCTCAACGGAGGAAGCGGGAAGTAGGTCCAAAACAAAGCGTCAGTCGGCTCCACGCTCGCCGCTGTGAGGTCACTGCAACTGCACGCGGTACGCGCCGATCAGCAGCTTCACCTGTAAAAGCAAGCAGGTGGTTCACACCCAACTCCAGTGTTAAACGCCACTTCCCACGTGGGCACAGCACGAGAAGGCAGGAGGAATTTACAGTCTGTGTTGAATAAAACCTGTCTGTAGCAGCCCGACTGAAATATGAGTGCCCTGTGAACGGACTGAAGCAGAACCCTGCTGCAGGAGGCGGTGAGCCCCAGATCTGAACTAGACACACATGTACCCGAGTTCCATTTTGTTAAAAAAAGGGAAAAAGTGCACAATAAAACACCTAAAAGTCTAAGTTTTAGATCTCAGAGTCTAGAAAATGTAGTGGTGCATCTTCCAAGGATAAAGCAGGCGCTACACCACCAGGATCTGCTATTCAGCCTGCAACATGTGGTGGGGCGACTGCCTGAAGCACCCGGAAAACACAGCAGACAACAAGCAGACTGCGTGCCCTGCTAAGTACTTCCAGCTCTTCCTGTGGTGCCGAGAACGCAGCCGTACGCAAAACCCACCGTGCCCTCTGGTCATTAAATTCACTGTACGGGTGGGGAAAATGGTTAGCCGTAACATTCCTTCATCCTGGTGCGGGAACTGCTCTGACCGCAGCGTGAAAACGTTCGGCTGTGACACAACTAACCCCCTCGGTGACGTTCCCGAGCTCTGGTAGCATCAGAGGCTGCAGCTGTAACCGCTGGGAACGAGGAGAAGTCCCTGGTTCTACGTTCACAGCACGCAGCTGGAAACACCCGGAAGAGGTATCGTACAACGAACCAACGTACGCACGAGATCATTCTGTACCTTGGCAGTGGGAACTTCTGCCAACCGTATGAACAGCTTGTTAAGGCCTGCAGTGGGGTTGAAGGAATAAATAAAGTGACTGTCCTAAAAGGAAACAGAAAACGGACAAAGTTAGTGGGGCAGGCTATGGCTGGAAGCGCTACGCGAGCAGACCAACGGAACACAGCCTTCTCGGAAAGCTGCGTGCGCGGCAAAGCAACCGCTGCAGCCACGGAGAAAACGAGGGCTTGAAAAAGGGCACAGTCTCGTGCGTGTCGCAGGTTGAAAACCCCCAAACAACAGAAGCTAACCACCAGAAATAGGAGGTAGGTTGTCAAAACAAGGTAAAAGGAGGGAGAAGTGAAACGGGTTCCAAGGGAGGCTCGCGGCCTCAGGGCTGGCTCACAGGAGGGCTAAGGCCGGCCCCAGGGACCTCAGGAGGCAGCCGGGCCAAGCCCCTGCACAACAGGGCCGCCCAGAGGCGGGCTCGCCAGTGCCCCGACTCTGCCTTTTAAGGCATAATGTTTTATGGATCCTAATACCAGGTTGGTTGTTCTCTCCACGTACAGAGAACTACATTTTCATAAATAAACCAACCCTACCATGATAAAATTGCTCCATCACAATACTCAAGATCCCAATCAAAGCACTAAGGATTCCCAAGCTGCCCCACAAAGACATCATAAAGCAGATGGACAGGCAGTCAGTTATACGGAAACATTTACCAAAAACACAGGGAGCTGGAACTTGTCGTTTAAAACCACGGCTTGAACACTGCACGGTCCGCAGAGCCGAGCAATGACTTCTTTACCAAAGAAATTTGCATGGAAAACAAAGAGAAGAACTCCAGATCCTGAAAGGGAAGACAGTACAGTCAGGTCAACCTGAAGCCAGAGCCGTTGCAGGCAGGCAGCGCCGTCGGTGGAACCTGACGTGCTCTGGGCTGTCTGTTCCCTCAGCAGGGACAGCCCAGCCTGGTCACTCACAGTCTTCACGGGCTGCGCCGGAACTCAGTAAGCAGCAGCCTTCAGTGCTCACAAGTGCTTATATAAGGTTTCCTAAAGCTACAGAGGAGACCTACGATCAACAGCTCCACAACCTGTATTACAGCTCTCCGCCAGCAGCAGACCGAGCAGACCCCACCCCTCCGGTCTCAGTTTAAGCAGTATTGCAGAGACACATGAATGTCCTGTCTCAAGCAAAGTCCGCACCAGCAGGTGTTTCCTGATACGCTCAAAAGGTGAATAAAAATGGCTCAACTAAGCCAAGCATCAGAGTATCGGGTCTGCGGGGCAAGGTTTTGGTAGCAGGGGGGTAAAGGGGTGGATTCTGTGAGAAGCTGCCAGAACCTTCTCCATGTCCAATAGGGCCAGTGCCAGCCAGCTCCAAGATGGACCTGCTGCTGGCCAAGGGCAGGCCCCCCAGTGACGGTGGCAGCGCCTCTGGGATAAGGTGTTTGAGAAAGGAAGAAAAACGTGGAAGAAAACTGCAGTGGGGAGAGAGCAGGATGTGAGAGGAACAGCCCTGCAGACCCCCAGGTCAGTGGAGAAGGAGGGGAGGAGATGCTCCAGGCGCCGGAGCAGAGATTCCCTGGCAGCCCGTGGTGCAGCCCATGGTGAGGCCGGCTGTGCCCTGCAGCCATGGGGGGTCACAGGGGAGCAGAGACCCACCTGCACCCCGGGAGGACCCCACACCGGAGCAGGGGGTGCCCAAAGGAGGCTGTGACTTCATGGGAAGCCCATGCTGGAGCAGCTCCTGGCAAAGCTGTGGCTCTGTGGAGCCCAGGCTGGAGCAGGTTTGCTGGGAAAGGACTGTGCTGGGCTGATCCCGGCTGGGGACCAGGTGCCCTCCAAAGCTGCCCCGTCACTGCCCTCCTCAGCTGGGCAGGGGAGAGCGTGTGATGAGACTCACAGCTCGAGGTAAGGGCAGGGAGGGATCATCTGCACCGTATCTGGATTCCTGAAAGACTGAAGAAACATTCCCAAGTATCTTGGGAATTTGATTCCCAGCTTTTTCCAAGGGTCTAGGACAAAAGGAGTTGATTGATGCTGGCTTCTTTTCTGCAGTATTTCTGTGTCAGCACGACGACAGCGCTGTGACTACACCCCCAGACTCCAGCGTGGTGCGTACTGGCTACAAAACAAGGTGATCCGCTACGAGATCTTTTTGAGTATGCTCTTAATAGTAAGTTTCTTCAAAACAGTTGATTCTCAGGTAAACTGCTCCTTTCCTGTAACACCTGTCACATAGCCAAGGTGACCCTGGCAGCGCTAACACAGCCCACGAAGAGAAGAAAGGAGCTGTGTACGTGGCAAGAGAAACCCTTCAAAAATACAAAGGTACCCACAGCACATCAGAACTCTGCTCCTCTCCCTACACTCCACCATCGGAGCATCCGTGATGTAGCGTGCTGCAGCGTGATCTCAGACACAAGTCACTCTGCACAGCAGGTACTTTCAGACCTATCTCCAAGGCAGCTCCTTCATGTACTGTTGGAATAAAACAACCCCCCCACCCCCCACCACCACAAACCCCCTACCTTCTGTCACGTTCTGGGGGGGTTTATAGGTAAAATCCGTAGCAAAGTCTGGCCCTTCACAGAGACGATGACAGGCAATCGGAAAGACTGGCTCCAGCAAAATCAGTCGAGCTTCGAAATATTCCCTGATGGTATCTTCTGCTACTCTCGAGAGCCTGGAAGACCAGAGGGGTGAGGCCTGTAGGCAGTTACCTTACGGATAAACAGATGAACCTCAAGTCCCAATACTTCATTAATAAACTGTTTCCCAGTGATCTGCTTGTGAAATTCATCTACTGCGTTATGAATAATAGGTATACTGCGTATACCTTATTTCTTTTTCCTCCAATTCATCCCCTCCACTGGAGGAGGGGAGGGGGATTTGTGAGAGCGGCTTCGTGGTATTTTGCTAGCTGGAGTTAAACAACGACATGTTGCTGGCCGGAGTTAAACCACGACATGCGTCCGCAGTAAAAAGCTGAGAGACGTACTGCAGCAGACTAAAACCCAATTCCCACATCTTCTGAAGGCTTTTTATGTAGAAAGTTGTCCCCGAAACATCACTATGTACCTAGTGGCTCAGCAGCAGCAGGCCACCACTTCCCCAGCATGGCCATTACCAACCTGACTGCAAGTACAACCTAAGAACAACTAATTCGCTCCTGGCAGTACAACCCACAACATCAGAAGGATACAGACCAGTTGGAGCGAGTCCAGAGGAGGCCACGAAGATGCTCCGAGGGCTGGAGCACCTCTGCTATGGGGACAGGCTGAGAGAGTTGGGCTTGTTCAGCCTGGAGAAGAGAAGGCTCCAGGGAGACCTTATAGCACCTTCCAGTACCTGAAGGGGCTACAAGGAAGCTGGGGGGGACTTTTTACAAGGGCCTGTAGTGACAGGACAAGGGGTAATGGGTTTCAGTTTAAAGTGGGGAGATTTAGATTGGATATCAGGAAGAGGTTCTTCCCAGAGAGGGTGGTGAGACACTGGAACAGTTTGCCCAGAGAAGCTGTGGATGCCCTATCCCTGGAAGTGTTCAAGGCCAGGCTGGATGAGGCTTTGAGCAACCTGGTCTAGTGGAAGGTGTCCCTGCCCATGGCAGGGGGGTTGGAACTAGATGGGCTTTAAGGTCCCTTCCAACCTGTGATTCTGTGATAAAATCATAAATGAACAGAAGGACCTTGCAGTGAGAGAGTGCTCTTCCAGCACCAACTACGCATTCACGGCAAAACCTCACCAGCTGCAGAAGCTCTGAGACCCTCCCTGCGCCTTCTCCAAGTTTAGAGACTGTTGGTTACAGTTTGCTGCCCTGCTCACTCTCAGTATTGCTCCAAACCGAGCCTCAGAGCTCACTCCTTCTCTTTACATCCGTCTCCATGTAGCGCCCGAGTTCAGCAGCTCAGTGTACTTTTACATGACCACATGGCACGCACGCTTCACCTCCCACAGACACCGCACTGCTCCTCTGCGGCCCGGGGAGGTTTCGTTTCCGTCGTATAGCGGCATGAAAGCCATGTCCCTTGGCACCCACAGCTGACAGGCCTAAGGGTCCAACAACGCCCCAGCTGCATGCGCTGACGTTTCACAGTGGTTTGGCATTTTTCTGTTTGCTTCTAGTTTGTTAAAATGCTTTTTTAGCACAGTATTTTATTTGGCGTGCCCTAGTAAGAGTTTACGTTCAACTGCCCAGTGCTTGTACCCTTCTTCCCAAGCACTGCGTTCCTAGTTTAAGGAATCTTTCACCTCCAGTAATTCCCTTTTCCTCCTTTCCATCTTTCTACTGTTTAAGCGTCTGCTAATTGTGTCAGCTGACATCACTTTCGATTCGCCCGAGTTACCAGTTAGCTTTGTGCCCACATCAGACCTGTTTCCTTTCCTGCAATCTCCCCCTCTCCCCTTGACCTAAACCAGCACTGGCACACGCCTCGCACTGCCGGCTCCACCGCGCCCAGCGTCGACGGACGGCCTACTCACGTTTCCAGGTGACTCTTGAGCTGCTCGTACACCAGCACGTTATTGCACTGTTTGGCGAAATGCAGCGCGCTGTTCTGATGCTTGGACAGGATGTTACAGTCTGCGCCGCTTTCGATCATAAGCCGCACTATATCGCAATTCCCTCTTTTACAGGCCTGCGCAGGAAGTGAGGAGATGGAAGGAGGGACAACAGTGACAAATTGCCCGTTAGAGCAGAGCACAACACTGAAGCAAGCAGAAGGGCAGAAATGAATTAAAATCCCAAAGCAGTTGAAAATCAGAAGACAAGTGTGGGTATTTGCTCCGCAAACGCTCAGCACAACTCAAAACTTGGGATCACGCTTCATCACTATTTTATCTTTACTCAGGCAGCACTGCACACCCGATCCCACAGGAGCAGCAACACTCAGGATCACCAAGTGAACTTAATTAGGAAAAATAAATAGATAAAACAAGCCCCAGAAATCTGTGAAAACAACTAATTTGCTGGGGTTGGGTAACCGTAAGCTTTCTTGCATTTGTTTACCGGAATAAATGGGTTTCTGCAGAGGTATTCAGAACGATTCCAAGTGTCTGTTTCTAGGAATCTCTGTTGAAATCTCAAGGCATGCAACAAATCAAGAGAATTTGCCCCAAACTGTTACTCAGCTATGTTAGGCAGTCACTGTTATCAACTGCCTACGCGCCCAGGGCTGTTCGGTGTCACAGCAAGAATTTTAGGGCATATAAAACTTGTCAAAAGCACAGGGAAGTCTGCAGCAAGCTTTCCTTAGAGGAAGGCAAACACATCTCTTGGCCTCTTGTTTTCAAACGTTTCCCTCAAATTAGGGAAAGGCACAAGAGAGAAATTTCTACGCTGATGAGACCCTTTCAGAAGTTCTAAAATTCGTCTCAGCTCTGAACTCTTACCTGTGCTTTCAATCCATATGTTCCATAAACAAACCCACCTGCCCCCCCAGACAACAACAAAACCACCCCAAACATCGCACACGACCTCTGAGAAAGGAATTAAGTGCCAAGACTGCTTTTTCCGCCCTCTCTTTTAAAAAAGTATGATCCAACTCCTAAGGTTAAATAAGAGTGAGTTGATGAACACATTCATGTGTTTATCCAGACATGGCTAAACTTGGTCCCGTAAGTTACCGGAAACGAGACCGTTCTCTCTGTATCTTTGCACAAGAAAACATCTGGAACAAGTCACTGTAGGCTGGCAACGAGAAAGGATGTACAGCTGCGCACCAGGTACCAACAAAACCTTCCCAAACAACAAGAGTCAGAACAGCTTCATGGAGGTAGCCAGATTAGGAAGAGGCTTCGGAGCAAAGTGGCAGAGCGTGTTAACCATCTTCTTTACAAAAATGTCAATTCCCCAGGCTTGTTAAGCCTTGCAGAGGATTGAAAAGAAACAATACCATGTTCTCTTACACAGAAAAGCTTTTGTAATGTCTTCTGCAAACAAACTGCCTTCAAAAGCCTACACAGAAATACAGCAAGTTTATCAGGAAGGTACCTTTCGTGCAATTATTTGATAAAAAAAAAAATATTAAGCACAGGCTGTTTTGAGAGCTTTAGGATTTTCGCCTTAGAACAAAACAAATTACAAATTTCCTTTGTGCTGGGGGGCAGTAAAAGTGCAGAACAAGGAGTGGGAAGGAGACTGCAAACTGGTCATTTTGTTGCTGGCCTGTGATGAAAAAACAAATCAATCACAGCAACAGCCAAATGAAAGATTCTCCTTTCTGGAATTCATGTCTTCCCGCTAACAAGTGGATTATCTCAGTTTTAAGACCACATCCCCATGTTGGGGTGAGCGACGGGAGAGGGTGAGGAGCCGCATTCAGCCCTGCAGGCGGATGTAACGGTACGTTTAAACACAAGGGATTCAAACACTGCCTACAACACGTCGGGGTGTTTGTATTTCACACGCAGTTCACGTTCCCTAAGCCACCGCTACAAATACGCTTTTCTGTTGCACTAGTTTGCCAAGAGCATTCACGATTGAACCGTGCCAGGACAAACATTTACCTTCATTAAAGCCGTTTCCCCGCTGCTCTGCTGCATGTTCACGTACGCGCCAGCTTCCAGAAGAATAGCGACTGTGGTTAGGAAATTCTGAAAATATTAAGAGAAAGAAAATCACAAGACAAGTAAGTAGAAAATACTCCGGGTTTGTTTCAGAACGTAGACTGGCATTTATTTAAAATCCATCAGTAAAATCCAAAGCGTGAGGCATGACACAACGCAGTTCTCTCCCACAGCTAATAAGCAGCAGCTCAGGCAAGCAGACACGAGTGTTCACAATTCCAACTGTTTTCTTCCTGCAGTGTTCACTGTAGCAGGATTTAGAAAAAAGTACGTTTGCATCAATCACCAAGCTGGAATCAGGCTCCCTTCTGGCCTTTCATCTGCTGTGCAGAGGGAAACGTGCCAGCCAGCTGGACCAGAAGAGCGCACCCATCAAACATCCTCTGAGTTACTACTCTGGTTGGTCTTGGTTTGGGAGGAGCTCGCCACTGTCGCCACCTCCCAGCTCTCACAGAGAGTAAACCCTGCTTAGGCAGGGAACTGCTCCCAGAGTGTCCCTGGTTATGTCCCCCAGCTACACAGGATCCAAACAAGCGATTCCAACAGGAGAACTTCACCCCCCGTGACAGAAGTTGAGGGATACCCCTCTGCCCCCCTCTCCCACAGGCAGCCCTGTGACGCTCGGGTAGGGTCTGCGATCAGAACGCATGTACACCACCGCAGCCACAGCTGCTGAAATGACGCGGTGAAGGCCGCGCCGCTGTATCCTGCTAGCGACTTCTCAGGCGCCATCCAAGGGGAACAGGACTGTGTACCACTTTTAAACATACGAGTCGAGAACCACAGATACGACGGTAACTAAGCCAACCTTCTCGGCTGCGCAGATCAAGGCGGTTGTCCCGTTTTTTTTTTTCCCTGCCATTAACGTTAGCTCCTTTCCTGATGAGGACCCGGAGAAGGTCATCGTGCCCACCAGCCGCAGCAAGCATTACTAGGGTCACTCCATTTGAATCCTGCAACAAGAACCGTTGCCATTAAAAAAAAAAAAAAAGTAACCAAATGCTTAAATCAAAGCTGCAAGACAAAAGCTGAAAGTGCGCCAAGAGGTTTCACGAAGATTCCTTCCGTGGCAGAATTCCCACGTACGTGGCTGCCAGGTGCTGACAAGCTATCACCTCTTGGCCTCACACTCTGAGCTCCATCACCTGCACAACCTGTAACACTCCGAGGAGGAGAAAACCCAGAATAAGCCAGGAGGAAAGGCAGGAAGGTGCCTGAGGGTGGGGAAGGCAGCAGGACGGCAGAAAAGGAATCAGCAGCCACTGGAGGAAAACCAAGTGGATCGAGTGGCTGCTACCCCAGTGCTGCTTTTGAGTCTTAGCAGTGCAAGTCCGGAGAGACGCCTGTAACCAGCCAGCGCCCTCCCTCGCTCTTCATCTTCCACCAGATGCTACAACTCAGAGGACAAGACTGCCTGAGCAGATCCTTAGGCGTGTTTTCTACTACACTACCAAGTCCTTGCATGAGGTACAGCTCTCAAAATGTTACACAACACACCTACGCAGCAGCACCAGTGAAAATACTGGTATAAAGACAGATTTTAATCGTCAAAAACAGAACTGTAGTAATATTTAACAGGAAAATAGATCCTTGTAAGAAATAAGAAGAAACCAATGAACTGGCAGAAAACTACAATTATTCGTGGAGTGAAGTGGTCCCAGCCTGTCAAAACAAAAAATGCAAGTGTTTTTCTTGTTGGGTTTTGTGGCTGGGGGCGCGGGCAGAGGCACACAACACTATCGTCCCTCCTCAGCTGGGCAGGGCAGAGAAAACACAATGAAGGCTTGAAGGGCAGAGAGGGATCATTCAGCAATTACTGTCACAGGCAAAACTGGCTCAGCTTGGGGAAAAAAATAATCTATCATCAATCAAATCAGAGTAAAAAGAGAACTACAACCAAATTTTAAAACCCCTTCCCTCCACACCACACTCAAATTCACTCCTGCTTTCCTATACCTCCTCCCCCCAGGCAGTGCGGGGGGGATGGGGAATGGGTGTTATGGTCAGTCCATCGTCTCTGCTGCTCCTTCCTCCTCAGGGGAGGATCCTCACACTCTGTCCCTGTTCTAGCCTGGGGCCCCTCCTACAGGAGACCATCCCACATGAACTTCTCCAGTGTGAGTCCTTCCCACAGGATCAGCGT